CCCCCCCCAAAGTGTTGCACAAATAATATTTAATATTCTCCAAGGCCTTTGTGAGGTAAGCACATTACCACTCTGTAAGAATAGCAAAATTGAGACCCAGTGAGCATTAGTGACTCGGTCAGAGTCGCACAGTGAGTCATTTGCAGAGTTTCAATTAATGCACAGGAGCTTTGGGCTCCCAGAACTTTTCTAATTCACAGAATGACACTGCCTCATCTTATTATATATTTTAGAAATGTCTGTCTGTCTATCCATCAGAGTGTGTCTTTGTTCAAGACCTCCTAAATGGTAAGAGCTAGGACCATTAAATTTGGTATGTCATAACTTACACCAAAGTCAGGGTTTGGTTGTGCCAGGACAATTGGCTGTGCCTGGAATTCATTTATTTCTCATAAAATGGAAAGGGACAAGTCTGGCAGGAGGGAAAATTATACTACAGAATGAACACAGAGGGGCCCGTGATAGGGACTGGGATAGTTATAACCCCATGGGGCCAGCAGAAATCAGGGGTGGAGAAAGGGACAGCTGTCTACTGTATATTTCGGAGAGTTTGTCTGCTTTTGTGTGTCTGTCCCCAAACCGGGGGACATGCACCTCTGCCCCAGCTGTGCCTGCTGGAACAGTGGCAGCCATGGAGAGGTGATTCTCATCTGGCCTCAAGCTGCTGAGGTAACAGAGGGGTTGTCCACTCCCCCGGGACAGCCTGCATACTGAACCCCTCGTCCGCAGCCCCACCCCAGAACAATGATTTAAATGAAGAAAAAAAAACTTATTTGAGTTAAGGACTTGAGCAACGGTGGGTAAGTCTTCTGGTATTCAAATATTTTAGATCAAAGTTTCACACAATGAAACCTTGGACTGCATGAATTACCTAACTGTATCTTGGGGATAATCTCCAGTGATGGTGCTTTCAGCTTTATTTCCTTTTTAGCCCAAACCTCTCCTTCCTTTGCTTTGGGCTATTTCCTTCAAGCTTATCTTTCCTAATTATATTGCTTTCCTCTTCTCACAGAGCCAAGCTTGGGAGCTTTTGGTGATGTAATAAAGAAACGCAGGGATCTCATTTGGCAAAGGTGGCTTTCCTGCCCAATAGCTGATGAGTCATTTAAATTATGGCCTCTAGGAAAAAGGAAAAACCTTAAAAGCGTGGCTATCTTCAATCAGATGAAAATGTAAACATTTTAAAATAAGGGAACTCTCTTGGCTCCACAAATCGCTGTGGTTTGTATAGGAAAGAGTATGTTGTTGCAGGTGGGAATGTGTAAAATACAAAATACGTATTTTTTAAAAAATTTGTTCTATTCTCTGTCTTTACTGATCTGTCCCTTCTAACTTCCTAAAAATTAGCCCCAGCCCAGCTGTGAATTCAGAAGACGTTCTTGCTGCTCTGCTGACAGGTCACAGCAATGGGACACTTAGCATTCCCTTCTTGCTGCTACTCCCTCCACTTACTTCCTCCTTCCTCCCCTCCCCCCCCCCACTGCACGGTAGGTTGAGCCCCAAGAGATGAGGTGCAGTGATTGTAATCAGCCCATCTCCATTCCTGAGCTAAAGGACTGTCAGTATCTGGGCAAGATGTAAGGGACAATGTGAAGCCCCAGATGTATAAGTGTGGGATAAGCTACTCCGTGTTTTAGTTTGCCACCACACTTCTTCAGCAGAGTAGGAGCTCTGGGTAGGTGGAAAGGGAGCCACTCTTACCACTGCCACATAGCAGATGAAGAGTGATCAGCCTTTGGAGTAGGGATGTGAAGAACTAGTTGACTATCTGATAAGCAAATGTTTATCGGACAGTCGACAAACTTGTTGACTAGTCGCTCCCTCCATCCTTTGCTGCCTAAGAAAGAGGCAGCAAAGGGAGGGGAAAGGAGGAGGCACTTCAAAGCGGTAGTGCTGCGGGGAGCCTGGGGCCAGACCCTGGTCTCCATGTGGCACTGCCACTTTGAAACACTGCTGCGGGAGCCCGACCTCAGGCTCTTCTCGGCGTTTCAAAGCAGCAGTACCACGTGGAGCCCAGGATCAGCTGCAGAGTCCCCAGCTGATTCTGGGCTCCACACTGTGCTGCCACTTTGAAACACCATGGGAGCCCAGAATCAGGCTCCTCCCGGCATTTCAAAGCAGCAGCATGGAGCCCGGGATCAGCTGGAGAGTCTCCAGGTGATCCCGGGCTGCATGCAGTGGGGGGCCTGACTCTGGGCTCTGCCGCTTGGAGTCTGGGGGCCACGGGGAGTCGCTAGCTGATCCCAGGCTCCACATGACGCTTTCTCCTTTAAAGTGTAGCAACAGCCTTAGGGCTGTTGCTACCCTTCAAAGGCAGAGATGCCCAGTCAAATAGTTGATACAAAATGCATTAACTATTCAATTTGTCAATTACCCACAATTTAACTATCCCTACACCCGGAGAAGAATTGTCAGCCTGGTGTTCCCTTCTTTTTCTCACTCCTAAGCAAGCTGCAATACATAGTCCAGTACACAGGCAGGGAGATAATCCATAGCTCCATTTGGTATCACTCCTCTCCATTCCTGGGGTGTTAGGGTTGTGGTGGTGATACATCACCACCGCTTTCTAGTGCTTTCCACCGTCTAGATCATGAGGGTAGATCCAATCCCCATTCTACAGCCCAAAGCCCTGCTACGGTCTGAGTTGCTGAGGGAAAGAAAGGATAATCTTTGGGCACAGTGGCATTTTTGCAAGCTTTACCCAAGTTCTGTGGAATAGAGATGCACTGTCAAATAGAAACTGAAGTTCCTATTGCTTCTACAGGGGAACAGAGCAGCAAGATCCTCTTCTGATATATTACAGCAGCTCCTAAAAAGCAAAGAGTGTAGAGGGGTGAAGTCTGATCATTTAAAACGAATCCCAAAACCCGCCCTTATACCTTCAATGGCATTTCCTAATATTGAAATATAAAGTAAACAAAATCTTAAAAAGGCAGGCACTGTATAACTTTCCTTTTGCACATGGCCCCTTTAATGCAGTGAATGGTGCAGAGTATAGAAAAATATTCTTATTATATGAACTTTGATTTAGATAATAAACAATGACAGCCTTTACCTTGTTAATACATCATTAGGCTTGAGTGACCTTACCATGAACTTTCAATAAAATTGAGGGGGGCGGAGTTTTCCAATTTAACTTCAAAATTTTCATGCTTAATAGATAAGCATTACCAACAATAATAATAATAACTACAGGTTCACTCTAGAAAATATTTATTGCTGAGCATAGTGTTTGATATCAAGAATAGTTCCATTCAATTCCAAACGGTAGTAAGCACTGTACTTGCTGTTGTTTGAAGGATCAAGCCCTGTAAGCAATTGCATTGAGTCATCTTGATAATATTACAAATGATGCAAGATGAAAGAAATTCTGCTTTAAAGACATATTGGATCTGATTCTCCAGTATGTTAATTAGTTTTAGTTCAGCCTAACATACTCTTTTGGCAAAACTCTGTATCACAAAGTGGGAAATTGAGTGCAAAATATACTTAAAAGACCATTTTTTTAAATCTAAAATAAAAATTAAGAAATCTGTACTTAGAAACTAGGAAAATTCACCCCTTAAATATTTTCTTTTACTGGCAAAGTGAGGTGTGAAAACAATCTCTTTAAAGAATTTTATATTTATATTAGGCATCCAAAAGAGAAGCAGCGGAACTGGAAACATGGTGAGAGTCAGAACTAAAAAGGGCGGCATGGTGCCCAGAACACAGGAGGTGTGTCTAGACCACAGTTTTTTTTTTTTTTTTAAAGTGGCCTTTTTTCAAAAAAACTTCCCCTGCATCTAGACTGCTGCCGCGTACTTTTGAAAGTAAATCGAAAGAACGCGGCAGTTTTTTCGACCTTGGAAAACCTTGTTTTACGATGAACACCTTTTTTCGAAAGTGCTCTTTCAAAAAAAAGGTGCTATGTAATGCAAACTGTGCTTTTTCAGAGGAGAGCATCCAGACTGCCTGGGTGCTCTCTTTCGAAAAAGCAGCTTGCTTTTTCGAAAGTACTGATTGTAGTCCAGATGCTCTTTTTTGAAAGGCTTTTTCGAAAGTATCTTTAGAAAAAGCCTCTTTCGAAAAAAGGCGTGTAGTCTAGACATAGCCAGGGAGCAGTAGTCCTTGAGGGAGCACAGAGCCAGCCTCCCCTCACCTTACCCAGAGGTCCGGTGAGTCTGTTGGCTCATTTGCCATAAATGGATGTCTAATCTGGATATTCAATTATTTGAAAAGATTGTTTTCACACCTTACTTTGCCAGAGGAGAGAAGAAAATGGAAAGGAGAGGAAGAGAAGTGGTGAGGGCAGCCATAGCCTTTGAGAGAAGGAGGCAACTCCTGGCTGCTCTGTTTAAAAACACAATTCCTGCTTCCTTGGAACTGCTTGAGTTCTGTCCCAGAAGGTGTTTAGAACCTTCATTGACATCAGTGGGAACAAAAGGCACTTCTCATATTGAGGTTAGGTCTCCCACACAGCATTTTGCAGGACAGGGACCTTTAGTAGCACCTATTTGGTACCATGCAGACCCATGCTGACTTTCATTTCTGCCTCTCAGCTGTGTCTCACTCCACCAATACCCATAGTTTTTCCTGAGTCTCTCCCATTGCAGCAGAGGTATTCCCAAGGGCATTTCTAGTCCTACATTGGGATTCTGCCTGTCAGTCTCTCTAGTGTGGTTCTAAAGTTGTTGTTGGAGCAACATTTGCAGCCCCAGTCTCCTACAAAAAAGTGGAGGAAGAGCTTGAGAAACATCTAATTCAGTCACAGATTAAAACTATTAATTTTTGAAAGGATCCCACATTGGAAAGTGTCACTGTAGAAATCCGTCAGAATTTAAGAAGGGGCTTTTGATGAAAAGAATATTTTTGAAACAACTGTAGGGTTTTTTTAATCTGCTGTACAGAAATAACTTCCTTCCTTGTGATTCTCCTTCAGTAAAAACCTTTCTGTACCCACGCAGAAAACACTCTGTACCACCTTTGTTTCCTCATTATTTCCCATCTTCCCTTCCCAGGACAAGAAAAAATCTTTCTCTTGGCTTGTACCCACTTTATGCATCTTCAGAAATTCCACTACAGATACTCTGGTTTCTACCAAAGCGACGTCAGCACCACAAAGGAAAACAGTCGTGTTCCACCACAGCACAGAAGATGCTGCAAGTACCAGCAGCAAAGTGGCTACTGGGAGTCCTTTAGCAAAAATTTGCAATGTTTTGAAAAATTAGAGTTGAACTGGAAGAACAAATATTCTATTGTTCTTGGTCAATATAGTACTCTTGGAACTGATTATTTAGGGAAGGAGTTGAAGTTCTCATTTTTAAAAAAAGTCTAAATTGCAGAAACAAAGCAACCCAACATACAATTTAGCATCATTGTAAATGCAAAAGTCATTATAAAACAAAGTATTTAGGAACCTCTATTTTTTGCTACATATGAATATACCCAGTGTCACATTATATGTTTTACCTGGATATTTGAGCATCTAAGCAAATCACTTGGTTGCAGTGGTTCCCAAATTCTGCCATCAAATTCTCATGAAGAGCTTTGCCACCCAAAACTTGCTGCTGCCAGTTGAGTAGGCTGGACCTGGAGAGAACTGGAATGAGGCAGGGGAAAAGACTAGGAGTTGGGGCATAAAGGACCTGAAACACAGCACCTAAAACACAGCACCTGAAACTCAAAATAAGATATGCAATTTGCGCTATGCAAATCGTGTAGCTTATTTTCAATCTATTTCGAAATAGCTTATTTCGTCATTTGGTGCTGTCTACACAGCACCAAACTTCGAAATACAGCTCTGTTTTGAGCCATCCCTTACGCCTTGTGCAATGAGGTTTACAGGGATGGCAAAATAGTGCGTCTGCTATATTTCAAAATAGCAGATGTGTTCAAAAGACATGGGGTAACTATTTCGGGATACCTTTGGTATCCCGAAATAACTTGGCTATGTAGACACACCCAAAGTGGGTATTGGATCTCGGATGTAGAACTGAGCAGCAAGAAACACTAGGAGAAAGGGCTGAAGGGTGTATTGCGAAGGGCATTGGGACTCAAGCAAGACTGCTCCAGTAAACCACATTCCACGAGGCATAGTGGAGCGGTCGACAAAGGCTTCCGTTGTTGACCGTGGAGCGTCCAGACTACCGCGCTGTGCCGCCAAACAGCTGATCGGCACAGCGCAGCGGCCATTTTGATGTAAATGAAGCGGCGATTATTTAAATCGCCGCTTCATTTTCCTATGCCTAGTAAACTCATCTACATGGCACCGTCGACAGAGCCATGTAATCTATACATACCCATAGTGAATCAGGGTTGCGTGGTTAATGAGTCTCCCGTGTCATTTGTTGTGAAGCTGGAAGTGAGAAAATGAGGCAGAGGATTGCAGGAAAGAAAAAAAAGGATGGTCTCAAGATTAAGAGAACTGAATGCTGTATAGATAATTGGAATCTACCCCTGCCTATGCCACAGAGTTACTGTTTAATGCTAGCCAGGTCATTTAAACCAAAATTTTCACAGGTGGCTACTAACTGTGTACTCCTTCTTTTCTGGATGCCCATACTGAGGTCCTAGAGTGTGATTTCCATTAGTGCTATGTGCATACAGCTACAACTGAAGGAAATGGAGGCTGGTCTCTGAACTTATGAAGTGCTATAAACTGCTAAAATTCCTAAAAAACTGCCCTACATTTTCAGATTTGGAGTACAAAATTAGTGGAAGCTTTTGACATTACTCTCTCTCTGCCTCAGTTCCAAACCTGTAAAATGGGGATATTATCACCCATCTCTTCATCTCACAGGAATGTGAAAATTAATGAATTAAAAGTTGTGAAGTACTTTGATACTTTAGTGATGAGTGCCATAGAAAGGACCATGTGGAAACAGAACGGGGTTTGGATGGTATAAATACATACATTGAATAATGAGGATAAAATGAAATACTGGATAGCTGCTCATTCATGAGGACTGCCCATCCTGTACACTACGGAGTTCCACGAGGCGTACAGTCAGTTCTGATTAGGAAGCTTAATCCGAACTAGCTAGTCCGTGCCGCTTGTAGCCGCGCGGCACGGGGTCCGAACTAGCCGGCATTTAAAAATGGCGCCGGCCCGCTTTATGCAAATGAAGCCTGGGAAATTCAAATCCCGGGCTTCATTTGCAACTCCGTATGACTACATTACCCCCCCTAGTTCGAACTAGGGGGTTAGTGTAGACATACCCTCAGTGACTTCAGTGGCACCAGGGTGTCACTCCGGATCTAGAAAGTAAGTAGAATTTTTTTCCCCTTTGCTTTGCAAAAATGTACTGGCTTGACAGTGAGTAATCAGTTGTTCATTGAGTCCAAGACAGCATGACTTTGGAAAATAGCTGCAGTCTATTTCATTAACCTTTGGAAAGAAACAAAAGAAATAGGGAGTGTTTGGGGATTTAGATCAAAATGTGACTGAATATTACATTCCTTATCACTAGGATAGAGGCCTACCAGCCTCCTGGCTTTACAGGCATAACTTTGAGTTCTATTATTGTAGTAGAAAGGGAGGAAAATGAGCATTACACAGACATCTTACAAACTGCTTCACAAGCTTCCTCCTTTAGACAAAACATATCCTTTCTGTGGTCAGTTATTTTCCATTAGCCGGGGCAGGAGTCTTGCTGATTATGCTGAGGTTTCTTACTAGCATTCTTTCTTTACTATTAAGTTATTATGGGCAAAGATCCCAGTGTGTATTAGACACTTTACAAACAAATAAGGGGACAGATACTTTCCCTAGGCAGGGGAACTTGCAGTCAGTAAGAGTTTTCCTGAAGTAAAATGAATATCACTGGCTCTTATTGATTTATTTTAAGGATTTATCCAGCATGTAGCTATTGCAGATGTTATTGTTTTCCAAAAGTTAGATATTTCATAGACAACCCACAATGGAATGCAAATATGGCCTTGGGTATGTTAAGAGCTTGATTTTGAGTAAACCAAAAAGGAAACTCCAACAACCAAGAAAACAACCTCAGAGGCTAAACAGAATAGATGTACCTTTATAATTCCCTGTGGGCTTCCAAACTCCATCTCTAGAAAAGCATGAAAGGGGCTAAATTCCAAACATACAGACTACGTATACATTGGCAAGATTTTGCACAAAAGCAGCTGCTTTTGCCCAAAATCTTGCCACCTGTCTGCACTGGCCGCGAATACTTGTGCAAGAACACTGACGTTCTAATGTATAAAATCAGTGCTTCTTATGCAAATACTCTGACGCTCCCACTCAGGGCTAAGCCCCCTGGCGCAACTGTTCTTGCACAAGAGGCCAGTGTAGACAGGCAACATCAATTTCTTGCGCAAGAAAGCCCGATGTTTAAAATGGCCATCGGAGCTTTCTTGCGCAAGAGAGCGTCTACACTGGCCTGGATGCTTTTGCGCAAAAGCACATCTTTTGCACAAAGGCACATGCCAGTGTATCCTCACAGATCCAGCTCAGATAAAAAAAATATTCAGTGAATACAAAATGATTATATAAAAGTCAGATTTTTGTGAATGTGAAGCTCCAGTTACTGAATGTTTGATATGCCACAAGAGATTCATATGATAATAGTTTACCTGTACACAGTTGACAAAATTACATCAATCTAGCAATCTCTGCTATAGAGAGGGGCAGGGCTGTTGGTAGCCTGAGAGTTGAAAGCAAGGATGAATGTTCTTCTGCAGATCAATAGGAGCACATGCTATGTGTGGCTTTACCTGGCACAATTGGTCCTTCCTTTTGCATTAGCCCTTTACTAAATTCAACAAATGTATCCAACTAATTGAAAGTGTTTATACTGTTGTGCTGGGCAAACCTACTGTACAAACCAAAGATACTGAAATGCTGTATTATATGGGCATACTAAGGCATAAATAGTAAATGCTCTTATTATACTTTGTTTTTCAAATAGATTGGTGATGCATCACATGGAGTAGGCGTCTCCTTGGATGTTGCACAATGAATGAGACAGCTGTTCAATATTTGTTTTTATCTTCACTGTTGAGCAAGTGGACTCTCTGTTCATTTGTTACACAGTCCTGGGCTCATTTATTGCATGCTTTCCACCCTGTCCAGTAAGAGCCCAGATATGTTCTCAGTTTAAATAAGGTGTTCATCAAGAATATCAGTGTCTTAATCACTGCATCTCTTGCACCCTGTACACTAACTGACAAAAGGATTCTGGAGAAAATAAAGTTTGGAGTACACTTAAAGTGTGTGCCATTATGCATGTGCGTAAGGGGGCAGAGTTCAGGCTGGACCAAGTAATAAGCAACGGAAAAGACTGTGTTCAAGTGAAAGTGTTAGGCAACCTTAACGGTGATTGTCAGTGTATTCTCCAGCAATATTGTATCTCATTTATAAATTCATATTTCATTAATATACTCCTGTGGTGTGGACCTAAGACAGCAGCAAGCTTTGTTTCCCAAGTAGGCTGGGGTTTTACAGGAATTACAGTTCAGGGTTTCTGATTTTAAAATATCTACAGTTCCACCCAATAGTCTAGGCTTTAACAATTTTCTCTAGTTTATAAAGGGTTGAGGTTTTGTTTTGGTTTTTACTAAAGCCAATTGATTTTCTAAAGAAATAGCAGCATTTGGTTACTGTGAGTGAAATACTGACTGCAGGCATAATCTAGCTGAAAGGCATATTCCTCAGTGAATTGGAAGCAGGGTTCTCCCTTCCCACGTTTTTTTACTTCACCTATTAATCACTTCATCACTAAACTCATGTCAGAGTCTGTTCTTAAAGTAATTTTAAGACTTAAAGTATTTCATCTAGTATGCTATTCAGAAAAATATGAAGAACTTTTTGGTATTCTAGTGCTGGTTCCTCGTGCCAATGTTTGTTTCATTAAAATCTTGAAAATAAAATGTCTTGTTCTTCAGAGGTTGTTTTTGGTTCCATTTTATTCATATTGATTCCTATTCCCCAGGATGTTAAAGAGAAAAATGTATTTGTTATAAAAAGTTACTGAGTCAACAGAGGCTGCTTGCCAGCCTGTCTGCACTTTGGGACAGGGATAATTGTTTTATTCTGGGTTTGTACACCACCTAGATCAGTAGGGATCTGGTCTCTGAATGGGAACTCATGCATTCTATCACAATATATAAATAAAGGACTGGCTGCAAAGTAGAAAATGTAGCTGACTAAGTTATGTCCACTCACTGAAACCTGTGCACATGGTTCATCACTCCATATTATGATTTATTTAAATCATAGTAACAATTCAAATGACAAATGTAGTTTCTAAACTTGGCCTGAAAATTCAGTTTCTGGAATACTAGTTGATAATAGATTACTTTTAAGTTGATGGGGTTTACTGTTCACAGTAAATCCGTGGTTTACTATGGATTTAATAGAACAAATTAAAAATTTCGCTGGGTGATTCTGCAGTTTCAAAAAAGCAAAAGTGCTCCCAAAACTTGAAGTACTTCTATAAAGATAAAATGAGTATAAATTGCTAAGCAGCTTATAACATACAGTGACGTACTTCTAATAATTAGGAGTGTTCTAATCATTCACTTCACATTGTGTCACTATATAGTTAACATGGGAACATTTCACTGTTGGAGATTGGTGTTTTATTTAGTTCTATATTTCAGAATAGCTTCTTTAGACAATGAGTTGGTGTGATTAATCATTTAAAACATATTACAAATTTGAAGAATAATAAAATAGTTCTCCCAGCGGCATTGGCTACGTATTTTATGCTTTATGCATTTATAATAGATTCTCAATGTGATTAAGGATGGCTTGGAATGTTGATAATAA